CTTCTAGTGCACATTTAAATCGAAATACTTTGCCATGGTAAGATCATCTTTAGCTCTTCATCAATGGAGCAATTGAGGCTGTAGATTCTGAGGAAGGACCAAGTGAAAAAATTAAAGCCTTAACTATGATAGTGCTCACTTTTGGGGCGGGGGGGGAAATTGTTATTAAAATACCTGTCCTCCACCTGCATTGTGTGGTGGTGGTTTTACACAGGCTGTGATGTTATGTATTGTATTTGATGTATGTGCAGGGCTCCATAGCGTTCCTGAATGAGAAGGGCAGATGTATAGAGCACATCCGAAGGTATTGACTGGACTGGTAGCACATCATGGGTGTACAACTGGGCATTGGGATGCGGAGTAGCAAACTGTCAAGTTTTTATGGGTATCAGGAAGTCCTGCTGTGTTTAGCCCCCAGCTCTCCATCCCATACCCAGGGCTTTTCGGTTTATATATACATATACATATATGTGTGTGTGTGTGTGTTTCTGTATGTGTAGATATGTATATACGTTTTTAAGCTGTTTTTAATAATGAAAAAGCTGTGGAACTTAATGAAGAGGTACCCCAATAGAAATTCCTCAAGTTTTGATAGTGGCATGTTTTGTGATTTATTCTCTTACCTCTGTTTTAGCTGACATGACTTTTAATGGCCCTGTTCCTCTTAACAGCATTTTCCTCATGCGCTGTTCATTTAAAAGGAAGGAGGAAAGGAATGTGTTGCTTTTCTCCTCCTGGCTGCTGTCTGTGTATTCACGCCACCATTCCTGAAGCCAGAGGATGAGCTTTTTGAAGACAACTTAAGAAAAGGACTGGAGTCTTAATTTTCTGTAGGAGCATAGACCAATGGGAAGATCCAGAGTCAGAGCAGTGAATTGTGTGAATTTTTGAAGTTGAGTAGAGGAGGTGATTTGGTTTATTGTGGGCATATGGATGTGGATCTCCAAAGGGTAGTAGAGATTGTCATAAAAGTAATTGAAAAATAATGTAAAATAAACATGCCTTCTTTTTGCTCACTCATTAAGCAAACGTTTGTATAGATCTTTGGAGAATTTTAAGTAACTTCTACGATTCCTGTGTTCTCAGTAAAACCACTGTAAAGTCAGCACAGCAACAAGACATCTAAAACCGTCTTTGAATGCAAATAATTGCAAACTGTAGGCTTATTTCAGATTATAATTTTGTACTTCACTTATTAAAATAAAAAGATGGGATTCAACTAAGACATTGTAATGCTGAAGAATTTACCTTTGTGGGTAACACTTGCATCTTTGAAATGGGAAAGCTGAGGCACCAAATATGGGGTACCAGGGTGCTGCCTGTGAAAGTCCCGTTCGAGAGAGCCCTGAACCCATTCCTTATTCATCAGGGTTGCATAGGCCAGCACCGTTGGAGTCCTTGGATGTAGGAACTTAAAGTTAGCAGAAAAACTGGTACTTTGATTCACACTTTCAAAATGGTATTTTTTTCTACTTTTGTCTTTTCACAGCTTTAAAGTTGTGCATTTCCGCTGTGTGTGTCATCATAAAGCACAGAAGGAGAGAGTAACTGTGAACTTAAAAACATTTTTAAGTAGTTTCCAGGGGGCTTTCACCTCTATTTTTGTGGGTGATTGTCCCAGTAAATTATTCTTATTCTAAGTTCAGATGTTTTTTAGGACTTGCTTGGTTTGCTGTACTTCTGGAAGGACTTTCCCTGAGTGATCTTTTCTTGGATGACCTCTCCTTGCTGTCACTAAAACTTGGAAACTTTGCTCTTCTTCACAGTTGGTTCTGCAGTCTCGTTCTGTCCACTTCTATTGTAAACACGCAAAAGTTGCTGCTGTTGTTGCTTAGGATGGATTTTTCCTCGGTTGTTTTGAAGTTTGGCAGAAACAGAAGTTAATCTTTAAGAGAGCGAGGCTGGTAAGGATTGGACGGCCAGACTCGCTGGGTCACGCTGTGTCTGCCGTTTCGTTTGCCTGGTAGATGATGTTCTGCTGACTGCAGCTGGATTTTTGGAAAGCAGAAAAACAATTTGCTTTTCCTTCCCATAAAGTATAACCCTTTGTTTATCGTGTACTGCTGCGAGTTTCCAAAATGCAGAGACTCGCAAAGAAAAGAAAGGGAGGAAATAGCTCTTTTTTAATGCTGTTTTTTGTGTCGGAGAGTAGAGTTTAGTACCACGTTGAGTTGTTGACCTCTGCGGAGGTTATTATTAGAGTTGGCTGATTTGTGTGGAGCTGTGTCTGATCGACTGAGGCCACTTGGTGGAACAAACTCCCTGCAGTGGCTCTGGTGAAGGCAGTCGCAGTTTTTAATTATTATTTTTTTTAAAAAAATTTGAAGAATAATGCTATTTGAAGTTCTTCATTTACTTCAGTTCACTGGAGTAATTGAGAGCAACTCCCTTTTCCAAGCGAGATGTTTCTTTTTGTTAGGAGTTGTTGGATTACTGGGGTTTTGTCATTACAGCGCGTGATGCCCCTTTGGGTTCCTGCTGCAGGGACGTTGCAAGGTGCTCGCAGAGTTTGGGAAATGCAAGTGACTGATTCTCAAGCCTGCAGAGATTTGTATGAGGAGAGCTATCATCTGACAGTTTTTAATTGTATATTTTATACATAAAAGGGATGAAAAAGAAAGTCTGGGGACCTGAATGTCTTTACTGACCCAGATAAGAATTGCTGAAGCAGAAGTCAGCATTAAAACCTTACTGGTTGGGATCTATAATGTCATCGGAAGAAAACATTTGTATTTACAACCTAGGGTTGCATTTTACAACCTTTTTTTGCTTTCTTTGTTCCTTAAGAGGCTCTGGCTACCCACATTTTATGCACTTCTGGAATGCAATAACAATTGTGGCATCATCTCTTCAGAATTCGTTTTCCTTCCTGAGATGAAGGCAGTGATAAGGTCTTGCAAAATATTCACTTGGTTTTGCTTTCCTGGCCTGAGATGGATTTAATTGGATGAATTGCTGCCTTTCTCCTTCCATTCCTTTATGACCTTTGAAATAGCTTGCTATGATCTTTTGAATTTTGCAATACCCTCACTGCTCTGGTCTGTAGAATTAAATCAGGAGCCGTTTGTCTTAGACCACATGAACAGAATAGCAGCTGCTTCTGCACGTGCCCAGCAAAATGCTGTCAAATGTGTCTTTAAGCGTTGTCAAATGTCAATTTAAACTTACACCTGTGTGCTCTGGTTAACACCCTCCCATGCTCTTTTTTCTTCGTTTTGCAGGCATTGAAAATAATGCCACTTAAGTCTGGTGTCTTCACTAAAATGATCTGGACAATTTGGGGGCCTCTATGAAAGGACCCTGATAGAAGAAGAAGGGGGTGAATAGGTTTTCTTCTTCTTGCTGTGGTTGGCAGATCAGTATCAAGAGACTTCGGGGAAACAGACTCTTAACTAGCTGTATACATACACAAACAGACACACACACACACATACATATATGTTGCTTCTCAGAATACAGAGTACGATTCAAAGATGCAGTTTGCCTATGCAAATGCTCCTTCTGCCTGTGATAGAGGATCAGCTAACCAGGGCTCCTTTAAATGAGACACACATGTCTAGAAGTTTTTAAATGTTTTGTTTCTTGGCTAAGCAGTGAAGGAGAGAATATAAATTACTAAATTGTCTATATTAGCCTAAGAACTGATGAAAACAGAGATTAACCATGCGCTTGATAGTCCCCTCCTTCCCCCATTCTCTCCCCCTCTGTGCAATATTTCTTTTTCCTATCTGTTTTAGCGTACGAGAAGGGATTTAGGTCTAGTAAACGGCATTGCGCCCGTGGCCGACAGTCCTAGTTCACAAGCTGAGGTTTGAATGCTCGCGCTCAGACCCTGTTACCAGGGCTCTCGTCACTAAATGGTTCTGCGGCTTCATCTGTCTGTGAACTTCAGTGCCTGAACGTTCAGACCTTGCCTTGCCAAGGGATCCCGGAGCAGTGGCAGGGCTGGGGTGCGCGAGTTCGGATCCATCAGTGGGATTTGAGCGCTAAATACAGGCAAGGGCTACATGGTGGTGTAGGAAGAGCAGCATCCACCTGAAAGAGCTTAATCTAAAATTATAAAAAGCAAAGGGGAAACAGGATGTGAAGATAGGACAGTAATAACAATTACGATGGAGGGCACCATGGTACTTTGACTTGTAGATTACTTAAGCTTTTCATCTATGTTTAAGCATTATCTAATTGTTTTCAGGAATGTAATAGTCTGTATTTTTCATCGTAGTAGTTAGTGTGATATTCTTGGTTGATTTGGCTCTGTGGTTTTTTGTTTGTTTGGTTTTTAACTCAGACTTTATATATGAAATTGCATTTATCGTGGGCCTGATTCATTTTGAGCCTTGCCAAGTTTTTGTTCACAGCTATTTTCAGCGGCTTTCTATTTTAGGTATTTTCATCTTTTAATCCTCCAGGACAGTTCTCCATTTTATGTTCATCTTTATGCATGTGTGGATATCAATTTTAATGATAAATATCAAGGTAATAAAAAGCAGGTGAACAATGGAAACTTGGGCACTGATTTTAGAGGAATTACAAATTCACTTACTGTGTAAAGGTATTTTGTTTGGTTGAGGGCTTGTATATAACAGTATTGAAAACAAATGCAAAAGCACGATACACCCTTTCATACCACAAAAATTGAGAAGAGCTTGCAGCTAACTGATGACCAATAGAAAGACGTCAGTCGAGTAAAAGTAATTAACATGTGAAGATACAGAACCAATCCAGTCAAACTTTGAAATATCTCCCTCACTCCACTGTATCAAAATGGCTTTTAAAAAATGCAGACATAAGGAGAAATGAATATTTACACATAATTAGCTGTTCAAAATAGCTCATCTAACCACAGTCTTATCTTTAGGAACAAAAATGCAAGCATTTAGTAAGTGATATTAGCAATTGAAAGGCTTTTGTTTAGACTTTTTGTTTTCCTGGCAATGAATAAAATTCTTTGTGAGAAGTCATTAAGATATTTCTTAATGTTGCCTTTTAAAACTTTTCAGGCTGCTATCCTTGTCCAGGACCAAACATGAATCCTATTGCTCTTGGAAGCCGTTGGCTTGCTTATGCAGAAAATAAGGTAAGAAAAAGTTTCATTTCAAACAAGCACATCTCTCTGGTTCTAGATTTCATTCTAGCTTTTGTGTATATGTAAGGGGAAAAAAGAAAATAAAGAAGTCTCAGAAAAAAGCTGTGTGTAAGAGGACTTGCAATGGCAGACCTAATTTTTGACCCTGTGATTGTGCTTTGGTGTTCACATTAGTAATAGCTTTACTCTGCACATTTGATTGAAGCTCATGAGCTTGGAGGGGATAAATACATAAGTTGCCTGGGCAGAGAAAACAGCTATCAACATGTGTTTTCAGTGAGCTCGCTCAACAACAAACTCCTTTTGGGTTTAAAAAGGTTAAAGCACAAAATTAGAGGCAGCTCTGAAAGGCTTTGAGACAAGTGAGGATTCCTAAATTCTGTCTGGGGAAACTGCGTCTGGACAGAGGCAGTGAGTTTGTATGAAACAACACAGCAATGCCCTTTGTACATTGGGAAATAGCATTGAAATGACTACTTTTTAACATTGCTGCAATTGTTAGGCTCCAGGAAAAAAAAAGAAATAAAAATAAAATATTGGATTAATTTTTCTTATTTCTGGAGGTAAAAGAAGAAAACAGATCCCAAACAAAACAATTTTCACTGCTCTTACCCAGCCCTAGGCCAGAAAAATGATTGTGTATTTAAAGCCTGAAGTGTTTGAAAACTTGAAATTCAACTTCTAATGCCTTATTTTTATGTCAAAGCAGCTGGTTTTTCTCCCTTCCACCTGTGACTGGAATGATCAGAGGCAGACTTGAGAAATGTGTTTGTTGCACCTTTTCAAGCACAACTGATTTCTCCCCATATTCAGGCCTTCCTTTCCTTTAATGCCACAGCTATGGGATTCTGTAAAACTTAACTGATCAGCCAGGGATTTAAGAAGCGCTGCTGCCAAAAATGCAAACCACTGCTCAGCAAAAGAATTGTCACCGAAGGATTTAAATTGGCTCGTGTGTTCCCAGGTGTATATTCACTGTGGACTTCCCCTTCCTCCTTAGTTTAACTGTTTTTGTTTAGATACTGAAATAGAAGCAGGAAAGGAAAGCCTGTGGAAACAAACATCTATCACAGTGAGTTTTGGTTTTCTTTTAGCTGAAACAGTTAAGCGGGCAACACGTTCTGTGTACAAGCAACAAACATCTGTAGGTTTTTTTGCCATTTTCTTTAGTCAGAAGCTCAGATAGTATTGTTAGGGTTCAAAGGCAAAAACTGCTTTTGTAGGTTGATGGCAGGTAGAAGAATCTTATTTTGATTTATTAATTTTGAAGGAAGGCAATATAGAGCAAACCCTGTGTACATCTATTAAACGTAAAGTTTAAAGTAGCTCTTTTCCTTTGTCATTTCTTTGCTTGCCAATCATAAAAAGAAGGAGAAAGCCACACTCAGATTCTTAGAATGTCAGATATTTAATGTTACATATACATTGCTAAAGCTTTTGATTATATTTATTTAAATTTATTTGTGGTATTGCTGCCAGACCAAAAATCCCACAATTTCAAAGTTTATGAATTCTTAGTGACTACTCATCTTGTAATTGAAAACTGGAGTTGAGTACGCGACAGTCTGGGTGGCACCCAGAAGATTATAAAAAGGGGTTAAGTGTCTCAGCAGGGCTTTTTGCTATTTGTAGGAAAAAACACACCACGGTACATGATAAATAAGGGCTCTGGTAATGGGTTATGGCTTTGTGTAGTTTAATAGTAGTTACTTGGTTGCTGTCTTTCTTCTCGTAGCTGATCCGATGCCATCAATCCCGTGGTGGAGCCTGTGGAGACAACATTCAGTCGTACACTGCCACAGTCATTAGTGCTGCCAAAGTGAGTACATCATCTGCTGCCGGGAGAGATTATCGTGTCAGATAATTATTAGGTTTCCCTGCTGAATTGTGCTGTGTGTCATCACTCCCCCATTCACAAAAAAGGCAAACGCAGTAAGAAACGCGCTAGCATTAGCACCGTGCGTACGGTCCTGAGCCTGCAAATCTCTGAGCAGCCGTTGTTTTCCACTAAGTACTCCTGTCCTTCTGAACTGATTTTAAAAAATGTATTTATTACAAACAGCTATTTGTATTAGTGACCCCTGTTATAGGAAAACCACAGTAAAATGGATTTGTGTAATGGCTATTCGTATTACAAGTTTACACAGTTAGGAATCAACACTGTGAATTATTAGTCTTTTAGCATCATGAAAACTGACTTTTCAAGTGCTTGGTGATTTTTGGACTCAATCACCCTAGTGTTATATGTTTTAATCTGAAGGATGACAGCGCAGTACTGCAGTTTATTAATGTCTGTTTACATATAGGTTTCATTGCCTGGTTTTCTCAGTTCACATGACATTATAATATCCCTCTGTTTTCAGGCAAACGCCTGGGTTTCCATACTATATCAGAAGAAGACCATGGCTTGGGAAATTCTTAAACAAGTCAAAGAGTACGCAGAATTGTTGTGTTCCTATTGCCCCCCAGCCCCGCTCCTTTCCTTGAGGACTTGCCTGCAGCTTTTTGCCAAGTCATTTCTTTTTCTCTCTCACACACACACACACACACACAAAGTGAGTTTTGGCATTGTCTGGCAAACTTCGTGCTGATTACAAGCTTTCATTGTAACCACCAGCCTTTTCATTTCTGATATACACAACAAAACAAATCTAATAATAGGAATTAAATGACAGCACAGAGCAGAGTGCTCAGCGTCACTGAAGAAAACAACAGTTACAAGAACCCACAAAGGGAGACAGGGCATGCCACCTCATGTGAAAACAAACATCAAAACAGACATATTCCATTAGCAAAGCTTTGGACACAGTCTCACTGTGGCTGGAGGAGGAGAAAAATCACAGTTTTTTACATTGTTGAGGAGAACTGGAACTGCTGTTCTTCTGAGGTCATCGGAAATTGCTGTATCTCTTTGCATACTTTCACCATCAGAAAAAAAAAAAGGGAGGGAAGGGAAAAAATCTCCCCAAAATCCTTCAATCTCATCATTAGTAACGTGTTTTTTGTAGTGTCGATAAGTTTGAAAAACTGGCTGGCTTAGCATGATCAGCCACAGCTGTGATCAGACGTGGTAAGATCTTACAATCGGATCACTGCACCGCCAAAGCCAACCTGCTCATGCCTGAAGAACAGGCCAAAGCTTTCTTAAATGATTGTCACAGCATTCCAGTAGGCATCGAACACTAAGCACTACTCTGTCTAATTTTTTTAACATACCAAAATGAAATCTAAAAAAGTGGGACATCTTTTATAGCCCTTAACCCTAAAGACCAAGGGTACCTGGGTTTTAAAGCCAGTCAGGACTGAGGTGATGGCCTTGCCTCCTGCGTAGCGCCAGCCAGGGATCATAATCCAGAAACTCCCTCATTAAGCTGAACGTGTGCAAACACTGAAGTGGTGATGTTGCACCATGTGAATAGCTACTGAAGATAAAATGAGTTTATAATTGTAGGAAAGAAAAAAAATGTTAGCCTCTGTACAGAGATGAAGTGATAGTGAAGGTTAGGAAAATGGATAATGATAAGGACACAGTCTCTAAACTGCTTGTGTTTTGCCTAGCACTTGGCTTTTGCTGTCAACTGGCTGTTAGATGTTATAGACAAGATTAATGCTCATATAGTTTTAAACATTTGCACAATTTGGGTTTGAGTATAACTCAGCCTTACTGTATTGATTTGTTATTCATGTCTGAGTGAGCAACACTGAATCAGAAATGTTTAGATTTTACCAATTTCACTGAATCTTGGCTTACTATCTCACAAGTCTTCATCATGCTGACTTTCTTGTTGGCAAATATGTACGCCAAATATCTGTTGCTGTTTGTGCATCTCATTATCTCACCGCAAACTGTACTCTTCGCCAAAGTAAATCTTCGTTTATAAACCTCTATTGCTGTTATGTCTTATCAGCCTGCAATGGTTTGGAATTCATTTCCTTTGATCAGCAGAGGTATGGACTTTTATTGGAAGTCAGTGTTTTTTTCCTGTTCCCTGCACTGCTGCTTTTTGGTTCAGAAGTGGGTCCATACAAGTTCTTGTTTTGTCAGATTATCTTACAGCCTTCTCGCTGTTTGGGTTCCTATTCCTTGTTGAAGGAAGTGAAAGATAAAGCTGAGAGCAAAGAGTAATTTCACTGGGTCACTTCTGCGAATTACCTTTTGGGTCCTCAGCAGAAGATCTCGGTGGCAGTACAGAATAGTTACCTTTATGGCTTATTCTTTTGATGAGAAATGGTTTTGAATATCCTGGTAGTGAATGGTGGGTCCATCCTCAGTGGGGTGTACTGCTGGGTACTGGACTTGATTCACCAAATAAATTTACTCCTTAATCAAATAACTTGGGAGTTGGATGCTCCCCTGTTAACTGAGAGTACCGAGGTCAGAGTCATGGTCACGTTGGAGTGTGTTCCTTACTGGTGCCAAAACTCTTGTTATGCTGGTAACATTATGAAGATTTCCTTTACGTCATCTTCCCATTTGATTTTTTAATTCCTAGAAGGATTTTATTTTGGACATTGAGCTTTTTCCTCTTTCTCCTTAGATGTGTCTTCAAGAGCATTGCTTTCTACTGGTGCTAGAAAAAACACATCCATTTTTTCCAGCTCAATCTCTTATTTTCGTTTCTCCATATTCGTGTGGTGTCTTTGTCTGCTCACATTCTAAAAGGCTCTGATAATTTCTGTAATCTGAAAATTTCTGGAAATAGAGAATATGTCAAGATTTCAATTTAAGTTAATGTTTAGCAAAGATGGAAATTGATGCATTTGGGAAAATGAAAATATTGCTCCCTATGGGATAAAGATTGCTTTCACTCCACTTGAACAAACACAGTACAATGGAAGTAGAGTATCTTTCAGAATAAACCCCAGTATTGCTTAACTGTGTTAGTGACGGGAGACTGTTCAGGTGCTTGGTTTGAGATAAGCATCCGAATGTGAAATTGTTTGTTATAATTATCCATATTTATCCATTTTGGATGGAGCAAGGAAGGAAAATTAGGAAAAAGCATTCTTATATCTCTGTGCTTGGTTTTTTTCTGTCTTATTGAAGAGAGGTTTGGTCTCACCAGGCCCCTGGGTGAGTCCTGTTTCGCTCTGTTCACATGGAGCTCCTGCAGCCCTTCCCCAGCCCAAGCCACCCTTGCCATGCTGTTAGAGGTAAACTTCGTGACAGGCTTCTTCCCTGTCCCACCTCTGCCCAGAGTATGCGTCAGGAGCAGGAAAGGGAAACGACTGCACTGAACATGGGCATTTCAACAAACTTCAGTTTGAACTTGAGTCTGTAATTGATTGCGTGTTCGTTTTGCTCAAACTAACCATGAGGCTTTCATATTGTTGATTACCAAGACGTATCTTTTTGATATCTCTTTCTGCTTTCTGTAGATTTTTCATTTGTAAACAAATAAATCATATAAAATGTATTTATTATGAGAAACAGGAACAATGTATTGTTTTGCCACTAAAAGGATGTAAGGCCTTTGTTGGAACAAAACAGTCTAACAGCCACTGAATGATGCGTTTTAATTTTCTCATCTAATTAAAGTTGTACTTATTTTTCAATTAAGTGAGGTATGAGTGCATACATTTACTTTAATTAAATAGGTCTGTCTTTGTATTTGAGTGAATGGGAACAGTGTTATTTTCAAGTAGATTGGGTACACGTGAGCATAGAAAGAATTTGTGCATTTGCACAATGTGCATCATTGCTTACAAAAGGAACTGGATCGAGTATTTTAATTCTATCAATAAGAAAATTACTCAGTAATTGCTGCACTGAGTAGGCACTGGCAGGTTCCCATCAATGACAAAGGAGCTGGGACAGTGCAGACTTTAACCTATTTCATTTAAAATGTATTTAGTCTGTCGAATGTCTAGCATCAAATTATAAACCAAGTTCTTCTCACCTCATAACTTCTTCAGTTGATTCTTTCTCCATATCTTTTAATCCTGTAGTGGTAAAGTGATTTAGCAAAGGCTGCATCTGTTTTCTCTTGTTACCTGATAACTTCTTAATGAGTACTAACAGCTTATGTGAGAGCAAGGTCATTATGTGAGAGCAAGCTCTAATGGATGGAGGGGACAGCTGATATGGCATGGGAAAGGTTAAAGATTACCAGAGAAGTTTTTGCAAATATACACACAGCACAAAGAAGTAAGTGCCATAATGGTTTTGCACTGATATTTCTGAGCTAATGGGCTCGGCCACGTCTTTGTACACCTATTACTTCTCAGCAGTCCCACAGTCACAGTCTGCTCTAACATGTAACGTCATTCATTTTGCTAGATAAGCATGTTAATTTTTTTCTAGAGTGCTATAAATTTCTACTTGGCACTTTGTCATCCAATTTCTCTAGCTACAATATTGAAGACATTTTCTAAAATAGGTCAGTTACTACTCATGGTCTTTTAACTTGCATAGGTATTTTGCCATACCGCTCTTGTAGACTGATTTCTCTTTCCTGCTGTATAAACTACCAGTGCCTTTTATGTGATTTTAACTATTGGCCAGAAAACTGCCCTGTCAGTTTTTGTAAGAGTGCATCTGTTGAAATGCATTCTTGTGATGGCGTTGGGTCTATTTTAGGGCTATTCCTCAGATGCCATTATCTGCTTTGTGTTACGTTTTTCAGTCTTCTGAATTTGCCACTGTTAAGATTTGTTTTGTTCTCACTTGTTTTATCTGAGCATAAAAAGAAATAATAAGAAACAAATGGCAGGATATTACTAAAGACTTTAAACCCCAAAGACATTCCTCTGATAAAGGCATGGCTCGATTTTAAGTGGTAGTATCTCCATTAGCATTAATGGGGTAAGTACATCAGCTGAGGCATCTCAGAGGTTAATCAGGCTTCCTGGCTGGATATTGCCATCGATACGGTGTGGCGCCTGATTCTGTTGGCCCTTCAGAGGTTTTCCTGACAACACACTAACAGACTTTGTGTAAGTCATTTCCTATGAATTATTAAAACAAACGTTTGGCTGCTAATTGATGAACACTAATGTGTTTTCTAATCACTGCAGTTTGAGATTTTAGCACTAAACAAAGCAGTTGCAATTGATTTGTGGCTGCTTCTTGGTTTCAGCCTGTGATCTGGACAGTTTTTTTCCTTTTCAATTTAGCAGGCAGCTTAGCTTGTCTTTTTAGTTAAGAATTGGCTTGTTATAGTGCCGTTCCATTCTGATCACTTTTGCTATTTCTTATTTATATTGCATAATAAATCTGCTCAATTCCTTATGGCCAAATGAGACACAGTCCTTGACTCAAGGAGAAAATAGCTCAAGTTGTAGCTTAGGTTGTTTTTTTTTTAAATCCCTCTCTTTCCTACTGTGTGTATGCTCCTTCTTTCTCCAAATAAAGCAAAACAACATAAACACAGTCTTCAGTGTCTTCAGATGACAGAAGCTGGTGCAATGAATGTGTTTTCAAAGCCACGTCTGGAAACCGTGCAGGCTGTGCAAAGTCACACTGTTTGTCCTGGATCCACGTGGGCTTTGTACAGAGCTGTCCTTTCTGGTACCTTGAGGATGGCATTTTTAAGTTTGCCGGGTTTGAGTCGCATGTTCAGTTTTAGTGCTGCAAAGGTGTTGCTGAGAAACAAAGGCGTGTGTCTGTCATATCTGTGAAAGGCCAGACTCCTTCTCTTCGCCTGTGCAGAAGACAGAGCTATTCCAGCATTAACCATTGGTGTTTCTCTGTGTAATGCTGCCCTCCACACACACCCATCTTGGCTTCATAATTTGATTCTTCTAAATATCCATGCTCTGTGCCTCTTGAGATAAGTAAATAACAAAGTTTAAGAAAAACTCTAACAGCATTAAAATGTCTCCTTTTTCAAGACTGTTTTGGAAGCATTTAATTCCAATACTTCAAACTGATAGGATGCCAGATTTTTTCCAGATATTTCTGTTAGATACAACCTTTTTGCAGCTTAGGTATCACCTGTAAAAATCATGCTTTGTGTGCTTCTGGCATGTGTGATCTAGTTATATGAATTGTGTTGAATAAAAATCAAGACAGATCCACCAAACAGCCCTAAACATTCTTCACTGATTCTCCTTCTTTTTCCAGACGATAAAGACTGGCCTCACGATGGTTGGCAAAGTGGTCACGCAGCTGACAGGGACGTTGCCTTCAGGGGCAACCGAAGAAGAAATTTTAGCTCACAGCAACATTCGTCGAAGTCCTCTGGTGCCCGGGATCATCACCATCATTGACACCGAGACAGTTGCAGAAGGGCAGGTAATGCGGTTTGCACAGGAAGAGAACGTGCATTCATTTTCAAGAAAATCCCAGGAAAATGTATTTGATGCTTTTGAAAATAAGAAATAGATGAGATTTTTGCTGGGTCAAAAACTTTGACAGACACATGCAGCTGTGACAAGGGCCTATTTGGGTCTGAAATTAAGCCAAAATGTATATTGTCCTTAGAAGGTATTTATGTGACACTTTGACAAGATCAAGTGTGAAGTGTCACATTTTGTCTCTCTAGCGCCTGTTCATAATTGACATTGATTTATGCTGATCAGTTGAAATGTATATGTAGTCTGATTATATTTATTAATATATAATGTGGCTGGAAAATGTGATTGTCTAGAAATACAGTGAACTGTTGAATTCCAGCTTAAAAGAAGATGATGAGTGAAGTTGGATATTAAGTATAAAAGCTTATGATTTTACATACATTTCAGAACTGAAATGTGATCAAGCATTATGCTGTTTTGTGAGCCATGTGTCCTGTTTTACTGATAATACAGTACAGTGTATTATCAGTGTGTACTGACAATACAGTACAGTGCATCAGACAAAAATAATTTAAGGAAAAGATAGCATTATCACACAAACTTTACACTGGTGTTTTGTGATGTATTTCTGAGAGGGAAGGTTTCTGTGCCTTTTGTGTTTGTTTCTGTCAGTCATTTCATTTCCAAGTGTCTGGTCCTGGGATCAGCGTTCATGCAGGACTCCCGTACACTCCATTATTCTGCAAATATTTTGTCATTTTTTTCCCCTAATGTTGACGTTTACTGAATTTAAAAAAGAAAAAACAATTTCTTTTTTTCCAGTTTTCTCCTAGCTTTGTGGTGCTTATTTCAGGTAAGTTAGTAAGGTATTGATGACAAATGAGTAGTTGAGTTCTTTTCTTTTCTTACCTGAGAGGAAAAGAAAATGTTTTACTTGAAAACAAACAAAAAAACCAAGAACCCCAGAGTACTGTTTGAGCTGTGGTTGTTCCTGAGAAGTACTTTGCCAAGTAATGTTGCATTGAAAGGGGACTGTTCATGTAATATTATAGGCCTTTTCTTGCAAAATTAAATTTAAAAAATAAGGAAAAAAGTAGAGAATGGGAAAAAAATTATTTCACTTAAGATCCTTTAGTCAGGTCCTAAAATAAGTCCATTGACTGTTGGGGTTTGGTTTTGTTTCCTGGAAAAAGTCTTTTGGCTCTTTGTATACTGCCAGGGGAAAAAAAAATAAAAGAGAGAAGAAAATTTAGCTTCATAAATTTCTCATGAAGCCTTGTTTAATGTGGTCATTATTTCTGATGGTCATTGTCAGTGCTTTGATTCTTCTGCATAGGCCTAGGGAGAAAAATGATATATCTGAGGTTTTTAAGTCTTGTTATGTTTGATTTAGAGGTTTTATGAACTTGTCCTCTGACCTTAACAATAGTGGGGAGCTATCAAGCCCAAAGGGCGCTATGGAAAAGTAGTTGTAAAAATGATAACGCTTGCCTTGTCCAAATACTGCTGCTGTAACATAAATAAGCCATCAGTTCTAGTAAAATAATTTTTGTCTTGAACCTCTAGGGAAGGCAGCTCTGAGTTAGATATCCTCATCGTATGTCTTGCATTCATGTTTTTGCATTTTTAAGTTTTCGTGGTACAGAAGACTTTTTACCAACCTTTTCTTACCGAAATGCCCGTCTGGCAAAAAGAAAGTTGATTGAAAATGAATCCGTGGTGCACATGGTGTATATAAAGGCAGTACAGAACTTCAGATGTTGGGATGCTGTGTGTGCTCGCAGCCCCTGCTGTGTTCCTGCCCGTCGCTGCAGTCCCTTCCAGTGCCAGGTGGAAACAGCAGTTTTTGTGCACACAGCCTGGTGTGAACGTGGCAGATTTGGGATTTGGCAGCCATGTGCATGGACTTGTCCCCAGGACCTGGCAGGGATCCGGGAGTGACGCGCTGCGTTGGGTGGCTGTGGCTGCAGGAGCTGGGGAGTCCTGGCTGGTTTCTGTAGCGTAATTGAGTGAAGCTTCAGCTCAGGAAAGCGATTTAGCACGTCTGACCTTTAAATGATGGGAGTAATCTGAGTGAGCTAAATGTGATTGCTCAGATACTTCAGCAGAAACTGGTGGTTAAGCACCGTGCCGATGCGAAATCTGTGTGGCTGTTGGAGATTCTTCCTCGTTGCATTGATTTCTGAAATGATTTTACTCTTCTGTGGCTAATTGGTTTGCTGCTAGTAGTCATCCAGACTACGTTATTACTGACACGGGCTGAAGTAGAAGAGCGATTGAGCAGCTTGACTGATCACCCATGTTTTGGAGAACATAGCGCAGTGCTATAGCGAATAGCTTGCACAGTTTAGTCTCCGTTTTCTTGATGCTGCATGGTGGTGATTTTTCTAAAGTTATCGGTTTATAATCACAGTTTTCAGATTCCAGGTGGGAATTAAGAGATCTGGGTGGGTAGAAAGAAACTCTTGGCGGCATTGCTGCTTCCTGCTGTGAGGAGGATGCCTGTTTTGGAATATTTCGGTTGTGCTGAGCGAGGATGCTGCTGGATGGCTGTGCAGCCGTCGCTCTGCCTGAACCGGCCAGGAAACCACAAGCAGGAGTAATGCCGACCAAGTGTTTTCTGGACTGAATTAACAGTTTGAAAACCTTGCATCCCTTTCCTCACAGATTTGTCTGGCAACTGTGTAAATATATTTGTGTGTGCATACATGCTCTTCAGAGGGTGTCAGCCTGATCGTAAATGAGGGGGATTTCAGGAGCAGAAAGGAGCGATTTTGTTGTCATCAGTGGACTCCTAATGTAGAAGGAATACCTCACCTCCTTCAGGTCTATAAAGATTGCTATCTACCTGCACAGCCTCACTTAGAATTTGGGTGTTGTAATGAAATAAGACTATTTCCAAGTAATAAAATATATCATTAAGGTAACCTATAGTAAAAAATGGAAGAAAACCATTTTAAAAAGAAAATGGAAAAAAAAAGGCAGTAAGTGCGTACTTTTGAAGGAGAGCTGAGCACTTTTTTTGGTGAGGGAGCAAGGGTTTATTTTGTTTTAAAAATATATATATATTAAAAGGCTTACAAAGTAATGATGCATGTGCTTGTCCATTTACTTTGAGCACGGCAACACAGTTTTTAAAGAGGGAGTGAGCTGCTCTGTGCGTGTGTACAAACACAGACTCATCTGCCAGTGGGACGATTAAGGAACATGTTTTGGAGATAAGCCAGAAGGAATAGCTACAGCTTTAAGTTTTCACTGCTTTTTTAATGATATCTGGCATTACAAAGATATCCCATATAAAGAACGCGGGATGGAACTCAATGTGTTTTATGAAATGCACTGTCCTACCATGGCAGAGGTTGAAATGCTGGCTTAGCACTGAAAAATATACAATTAAAGACCAAAGAAATCTTCTCATGTAAACTTGCAGGATTAAATCTGTAGTGAAAATATTTTTAATAAATGTTCTGAGCGTAGATATTGTAGTAAAATCTCATGCCCAGCAGTTGTTTATATGTTAGCTCCTTCTTTCAAAATTGGTGGTACTTTAAGGAAATTTGAATTATGAAGCAATTAAATAAAGGCAAAGGAATGCAGAATTATTGAAGTTGGCTGTCATGATGTATTTGTAAAGGGAGTAAAAGTAATTATCGAGATGCCCAAGTAACTTTGTGGTAAACCAGAATATGTTAACAAGGTTGTGTGCTTGTTTAAACTTCCTTCTAATGAAGTGTTAGCAAACTTTTCAGTTAGATGTAATGGCTATTTATTTGAATCTGTTAATTAGTTGAAATCACTAAAACTAAAGCTGTACAGATGTCCTCTTTTGCAGTAATTGGAATTAAATGTGTAGGACTTTAGTGGTTTGAGTTTTACAGAAAAATGATTTTCTTTCGGCCCTTGTTTCTGTATTCTTAATTAATTCATCAGCCAGGCCACCCACGTGTAGTCTGCAATAATGACCTTTCTCAAAAGTCGCCAGTTTTGTGACTGAATGTAAATCTGTTGAACATCTAACTTTTAGTTGACAGAGAAATATGTGGTCATTTAAAAACACAAAACTTGATTCCTAATGCTTTTGATAGAGCAGCGTGATTGATGAGATACAATTGTGTTGCTTTCACAGATCCTCCAAAAGACATGAAAATATTTGAGGATATATTTTAAAAACAGCTTATAAAAATAAGATAACATGTTGATCTTCTTATGTTTTAAAATGTGACTGGTGCTTTATTCTGTTCCCTATTAACCTTTTATTGCATTAAAGAGGAATTTTCTGGAAAAAAACTGCAGACTGCTGCAGTTTCAACAGTTCATTTTCATTTGGTGAGGACTTGATGGCAATTGAACCAAATAAAGATGCTTATCGGGAGCAAGAATTGTTTTGAAACTTTGGTATAAAGCAAAAAGAAGCTAAAAGAATAAAGCGTATTCAATAATAAAACTTTAACTGCATACATAATTCCACTGGTCATTAACACCAGTGCTTTTATTTAGAAGAACAGCTTTCACAAAGGCTAATTTGATGTTCTAACGCTCATATATTTGGCATCAATTTTCTTCACTCTTTATATCTACGTGTATTACAGAAGAATTCTTTTTATATGTAAGTATAAAAAGAGCAACAGGATTCCCTCAGAGCATAATACTGTCTGCCTTACTTTTATTAAAGGAGATCTGGTTTTTGTCAAGAAGACATTTTTGTCTCAGATAAATGGTTCAGGCTGAGCGCGAGGCTGTTTCGAGTTTATGCTGGATTCTATTAAAAGGAGTTCAGTAGTTAATGCCACAGATTTATCACTTTTAGCCCTTTTCCACTGATGTTTGACCCCAACTATAAGTTGGGGGAGGCCAACTGGGGGGGTCAGCATGGAGGGAGCTGTTTTTTGTGTGTACGTCCTAGGTGAACACTGCCCAAACTTCAGCTATTGAAGTCCATGGGATCTTAATGAGTACACCTGCAAAGATCTCTCTATTATATACTATTCATATTTATAAATATTGCCAAACCTATTTGTTTTTATGATGATAAAATCCTCTTTCTTAATTTGGTTAAGAGTAGGACCTGCTTGATTAGATTTGTGTCCATTTTTATTTGTGTTACTTTCATGTTTTATTTAAAAACATGTCTCCACTGGGATAAGTGGTGTAATTTGCCTTTAAAGATTAAAATAATTGAAGTCATAATTACTCGTGGCTTCTGTTCAGCAGTATGGAAAATACAATGAATGAAGAAAAATGCAGCATAGGAGGAAAAAGCTTCGGCTTCAGCTATCTCTTACCCTCAAAGCAAACCCTGTTTTCTGATAGTGAATGTATCGATTTCCGAGGTGTTTTGTCTGGTTTTCTTTTGAAGTGCGATGCAGAGGACTTGGTCCATCTCCGCTCAGCTGCCGTGTTCTGCTGGACCTGAGTCGAGATGCAGCGCTGGCTCAGTGCGTCCAGCTACGACTCGGCTGGCTTGGCAGCTCTTTTGGAAATCATGCTTTGAAGATCCTGTTTGGGCATCAGAAGTAGGCTGAGTGCACGTTTGCAAGGCTGTCTTGGTAGAAGACCCGTAGTATTTCCTTCTCGTTGGTTGTTTTTCTTAAAATGATGTTTCTGTTTGTAACAGTGGGGAACTCTGCAAGGGAGATACTTGAGCATCCTTATGAACCTCAGTGACTCTGCAATTACAGGAGTAATGCTAAGATTTATGAACCTTTTTCAATGGCAGACTTTGTAAGATCTTTTACTCTTAATAGTAGAGTGGTTAGAGGCCACTACCTTGGAGAATGAAGCCTATTCGGGACGAAAAAAATTGCAGCCTGGGGATTCCTGTGGGCTTTGCCCGCTCTGTGTGTCAGGAAGCTGAGCGAGCCGCTTCCTCCGAGCTTTTCGACAGCGCTTGCATGTGTTATTAGGCAGTTTGTACCACTCTTTTGACTTCCAAGAAACATTTCCAACTCTGTCCTTTTCAGTGGTAGGAAACCATAAACTGGCCAAAAGGAACCAGTTGTACAAAGTGGGTATTGATTTACTGTGCCATTCATTAGCCTGCGGACATCGTCCCTTCCAGCACTTTTGCCAGTAGCGTCCTCCTCGTCAGCCTTTGCAAGAAGTGGTTTCTAAAATCCGTGAAGCCGGTGTGGTGAAGGCCTTGAATGCTTCTTCGATACTGTACAGCTCCCGTCTTCATCCTGGTCTGCATGAAATCTCTGCTGTTTGACCCATCCAAATTTATATAAATCCTGTTGTACTGAGGCAGTTATATACATTTAAAAATCTCTAATACAAAAAATAATGTATTCCGGTGTAAAGCATCTTCTGTTATGTCAGCAGAATTTTGTTTTCCTTCAGTTGAATACAACGGTGAAGATCATTCTATGATTTTGGAGCTATACGAGCTCTAAGTTGACACACGAACCAGACTTTGGTTACTTGACAGGTTTGGAAGGGACATTTCCAAAGAGGCTCTTTTTTGGTGATGATGTAGTGAAGGCAACTGCTGTAATTCCTTTGATTTTTATTTTTTTTCCCCCCTCCTTTGTAGTGTTGAAAGTGTAAAAAATGATGTATGTTTTCCCCACTGCGAAAGTGCAGAGGAAGGATGTGACAAATCTTGCAGTGCAGCCTGAAGTTGGTGGTTTTTTACAAAGAAGTACTTTTCTTCTAAGGTTTTTTGTTTCATGTTGATTTTAAAAAGATGAACGTTTTTTCAGCTTCATCTTACCTCGCAGAAGCAAGTGTCGTTTCCAGGTGTGTGTTTCAGAGGCCAGTATTTTCCTTCTGTGGCTCAGAGGGCAGGAGGTGGTGTGGTACCAGCACAACTTGAGCTTCAGATTCTCCCCCTTCCAAGGATTTTCCAATTTTTGACTAATGAAGGTGCTTTTGTGGTTTGGTTTTTGGTTGGTTTTGTTACTTTTTTTACTTGGCTAAAGCAGGACACGAACATACTTCAGTTTGTGTCGGGAAGCTCTGTGTGAGCCAGGCCTGGTGGCAGGCGAGGGGTTTCGGGATCCACAGGCTCCCAGTGGCTTTTCTTTCTCTCTTGGTTGGATGCTGTGCTGCTAAGTTCTTCTTCCTTGTATTTCTGTCCAAAATGAAGGAATTGTAGAACAGCCAAAATAAGGACTGGCTTTCTATACCTGAAAATCAGCCTTTACAGTGAAAAGTGAAGATATTAAAAACTCCTTTTAGATTCAACACAAAGGGTGTTTTTCCAGCGAGGTAATTCTAAGCAGTGATTGGAAAAAACCCCAAACAAACCAACAAAAAAACCCACCAAACAACATTTTAAAGCATGGAATCGGTTAGTATAGCATACAGATAACAGATTTGGGCTTTACTGTATCCTCAGCTGTGTATGTCGGAGGTGTTTCACAATTTGTAATGTGATATTTTTACTTTGTATCATATTTTCAGAGGAAAAAAAATATTTAAGTTTGTCTTACCATCCAGAGTGTTCCTGCTTTTTTGAATAAGGGTTTTATGTTGCAGAGATAAGTGGTGCATTTATCATTAACTCAAAAATAAAAAAGCCATGCTGAATTCATCCAGTTTGCAGTCTGTAAAAGATGATGCATGTGAAGTATGCTGTATAACTTTTTAGCAGTGATTTAGATACTGTTGATACCTACACATTTCTAGATTTAATATTTTTGTTTAACAGACCGGATTAAAAAAAAAACCCTCCTATTTTTCTTGTAAAGCTGGTTTATGATGTTACTTTATCATTATCGTGTATCTTTAATTAGAACAAAATGTTTAGGATAAGACCAAGTTACCTAAAAGACGAAGCTGTGAAGAGATGATGTATAGGAGTTATTTAGTGCAGCTTATATAGGCTGAGAAAAGAACCGTGTTTCTTTGCAAAGCTCTTAGGAAGATCTCCAGACCCTTTGGTTAGTGGTTCTGGAATGAGCACGAAATGCTGACAGCGGAAAGCAAAACCATAATTGTGCTTATGTGACAGTGCCAAGTAATTTGAACATTTAAAGTAAGTCAGGCGCAGGCCTCTTCATCCATACTACGTGACTTCTTCAAACGTTTGAAGATGATTTCTCTTTTTGAAGCATAAAAATATCTTCAAATTATTCCAATATCTGTTAGGAATAGGAAGCATTAAAAACCTTTCAGATTATTTTGGAAGAAGCGGACAAATTATTCTGAGCTTGAAATGGGAAATTTTGCACTATCTTATTAAGAAGGTGGGTTTTGCTTACCACAACACCCCTTTTATTAAGTGCTTTTCTGACAGGTCTTTCTTATTGTTTTACTTAATTTAGTCTTCAACATGATGTAACTGAGGAATAAAATACTCTTACAGCTCTTGGATATGTTTTGTCCACGCATCTTTTGGTTCTCTTATATAAATCTAAGAATATCTTTTCATACAATTGGACGTTGGTACTGCTGTGTCCTTTTGGAGGTCCTTTTGTGTCTTTGCAGTCAGCTTTACGTTTGACCAGTCCAAGTAGTTTTATCAACTGCAAATAGTCTTTTGTTTGGTAAAATGAAAGCTCATCCTTTGTCCCTTTCTCCAGAAGATACTGCACTAGATATTTCCCTTTCCTCTTCATTTACTTCTGTTGTGAAAACCCTCTCCTACCTTTGAATTGCTGTTTTGTTCAGAAGAAGGTATTTTGTGACTGTGTGATTTCTTTAAGGGGTTTTGTGTGGTACTGTTATTCAGTGTCCACTGAGGCAATGTCGAGATGGAGAAAATTCTTGTTGGCTGCATATTTTGTAATGCAGCTGCTTTCGTGCACACTCGCAGCCCTTAGCGCTTCTTAGCACTTCATTTGGAAATCCAGTACCTCCAGTTCATCACCATGCACTTGTAGGATGCAGGCTGTGCTGTTCCTACCTGTGCATCTGGTAGAAAGTTAACCCTTGTTCTTTGTCTGGTTTTTTGGTCCATTTCTCCACTCGTTTGCTATGTATGCTTTGAATCCTGTCAACAAAAATACTGACTGATGTAATGGTTAAATATTCTATTTTCTTTGTAAAACTCTGTGCTGCCTCTTGTTTTTCTTTCTGTTACGTGATTTTTGTTATTGCTTAGAGAAAATAATTTGTCATTTACAGTTAAAGAGCCGTGTGTGCTCCTCAGTGTGATTACACCAGTCCTCCTTACATTAGTCCAAGTGAACCTGGTGGCGGGATAGCTCCTGCCCGCAGGGGAGCTGAATGAGCGGGAGAGCTCCTGTCCCAAATTTAGGAGTCATAGCCCTCTCAATTACAGACATACAGTGAGGTGACAGCCCTTGCTTCAGCCAAGGGCAATGGAAACCTTAAATGTAGCTGGCAGTGCCCTGCATACAGACTTCTCCTGTAATAAGCTTCTATGTAGCCATTAATACTTTGTGTATTAACAGTAATATTTTTCTATTTTGCCTTGTTGGATTAGGATTAATAAATAGAGTATCCAGGTATAAAGTGTATAGTCCTTTCTAGTTAATAGTAGGTCATTTGAGCATGTCTCATGTCTCTTTGTCCGAAAAAAATACAGATCACATTTAGATCACATACAGTTGTATTTCTAGTCCATACCACTGTGTATATCTTCTAAAATGATTCCTGTATCAGTAAGCTGGTATTTTCTTAGGTGTATTTTTATTTCCTGACCTTCCTTTGTCTCTATTAATTTTATGCAGGTACTTGTCAGTGAGGACTCTGATAGCGATGGTATTGTGGCCCACTTCCCTGCACATGAAAAGCCTATTTGCTGCATGGCTTTCAACCCTAGCGGTAAGTTGTTTTACAGTTTTAATGTGATAGCTGTAAACAGGATGTAGACAGTAAAATATCATAGGAATGTGTTCCAGTGCTTTGGAGGAATTGCAGATGCCACTGAGATATGTGCAAATGTCCACTCACTGCTCCTGGGACATTGGAGTGCTCTGTTGGGTGTTGAATGTGCCAAACACGGGTTATTTTGGCTTTTCTGGAAATTTCAAACTTAAGCAACTGATATGCTGTGGTGTATGCGAGAAGATGCAGTCTACCACTGCAGATGTAGAAGTACTGAGGACTTCTCTGCTGCTGGATATCCTGCCAGCCCTGGGTATCCAGGTGTTGTGATACACAGGTATCCTGAGGATCAGCACATGTATTAAATTGTACTCCTCCATAAATGTGAAAATAGAATGAATCGTTTCACTGACACTGGTTCTTAAGGAAGTTACACTGCCATTATGTGTTTTGTTGATGAAGAGTTTGCAATTCTACTCTTTCCTGAGAGAAATCAACCATAATCTGAAAATACTTTTAAGAAACTTCTCAGAAGTACCTATTTCTCTCCTTCCTTATTATAAACGGACAATGTCTGTGAGCAGCAGAGATCACTACAAATCTTGTCTGTTAATAAACCATATTCACTTGACAGTTATCATGTTTTCTATTTACTGATAAGAGAAAAAGGGGGGGTTGGTTGATTGCAGCAGTAGACAGTGAAATGGTGAGCAAATCAACAGTTTCTGCTTGCCTCAATTAACAGTTTCTAAAATATAGCAAATTCCAGGAAGATCTTGAGGATGAAGTCCCATTTCAAAGAATAAAACTAAATGTATGTCACTTATGTTTTCACTTTTGGTGACCAGTTGGTCTTATTCTGACATCCCATCTGTTATGTCAGAACTCTTTAGTAGTGGTGTGCAGTTCACAGCATTTTCACTGTGAGCTTTTGACATTAAAAATATATTCTCATCTGGCTGAATTTCTTTCTGATACTTGGGAGAGTTTTTTGTGCAACTCTGTGTATTTCACTGAGAATCAACTGTGCTGATTCCAGAATAGTCATATTTTTGCTTTGTATTCTGGTAGAAAGGCAGTATCTGGAGTTGCGCAATGCTAATTAAGTGAAATCAATACAGCTGCTTAAATTAGCATGCTTTATAGATATTAATTAAATATCTTCTTAAGACAGTTTTTGGGATTGTATAAATTTAAGGGAAAGAAATGCAAACAATGAAAGCATATTGACTTGCTATTTTTTAAATGAAAGGATGTATTTGCATATGATTGGATTCCTTGCATTATCATCACATTCCTTTGGGTTGCTCGGGTACTAAAATTACAGTCCTTTGTACGTGATATAGCAGGCTTGAGATCTAATGGTGCAATAAGGTACTTAATAGCAAAACACTTCTAATTGGTGTTATTTTTGCCTGGTTGCAAATTTTGTATGTTCTGAGATATCTGTGGGAGGGAAGATTCATAGCAAGGTGCTGAATGCTCCCACGTGTTCTGGGTACAGCAGCATCAAACCAGTTGAACGCGATTACCTTGGCTGCCAGCAGTATGAATGCAGCCCTTACCACAGGATTCTTTCTTTATTCTTTATTTAACATCAAGGCAGAGTTTTGTTTGAAGGCAGTGTCGTGAGTAACATCATCTTAATTCATGATATGGTGGGATATTGCCAATCAAGCTGATCTCATTACAAAGCAGAACAAAACAAGTGGGGGCTTTTGATACTGTCTGCAGGTATTGGCAGGTTGTAGTGAAAAACTGTTTTGTTCTGTAGTGCTGCTGCCCTAGGACGTAGCAACTGCAGACTGCTGCTTTAAAGGCAGACAGGGAACACTGATCTGTTTCAGTGAGCTGGTTTATTCTCTGTGGTGGATTAAACAGCTTAATTTCATCATGTCTCATCCCAAGGGCCCATGAGCTCCACAGGTATTTGTGTCTGTAAAAAATTATAGGATTGTGTTTGAAAAAACACTAAAACAAAGCCAGCACTGACACTGGAAACCACTGAAGGTCAATGGATATGGATACGTATGATTTTGGTGTAGTGAACCAGCAGAACAGCAGTGCAACCACTTTAAGCTATATTTTAAAGGTATCAGTTGCCAGTCAGATACATTTTTGGGGTTTCTGCTGTTCGTGTTCTCATACCAAATGAGGATCTTGCTGGGGATAAGTTAATCGTGATAAAATAGCAGCACAGAATTTATGGGTATCGTTGTGAGAACAACTCCTGGGAAGGGGTCATGTAGTGCTTCAGTGTAGGATTATCAGAAAACAATTCAGTGGGAAGGAGAGAGCGTCGCTGATGTCAGGAAACGCACTCGTATTTTTCCCTACTCTTTCTTTTTGAAGCCAAGAAGAAATCCTTGACTGCACACAGTGTCCAAGTTGCATTTAATTATGATGGGCTGATTGAAAATCTGTGGCAAACAGTGGCAGGACTCCTGCTGATGTGGAGGGCGGCTCTTGTTTGGTTTGTTTGGCTTTGTTTTTGAGGCTTTGGGGTTGTCTGCTCTTCCCAGCGAGGTAAATAACCTCTGTGGATTTCTGACTGGGTAAGTTGGCAAGGGGAGTGCTCGCTGTACGCTCACATGAGCTGTGCTACGAGGCAAAACCATGAAAGAACGAGCAGGGATGCTTCTGAGTAGGATTTTGTTGTGCTGTGTACACATTTCTATAGAGACTTCTGCTGGCATTAGATCTGCCTTTTGTTTAAATGTAAGACAGATCTATTGATTTATTTTTCCATTTTTGAGGTATTCAAAGAAAGAAGAAACTTGGCGTGCAGTTAGCTTTTTTAGTATTAGATCTGTGGCTACTCTGGAAATCTGGCTGTGTAATAAAATAACAAAGTTGAAATATAATTTCTGAATATACTTAAGGGCACCATAGGTTGGTTTTTTTTTAATGCTGCACACCTCTTCCAGACCCTTTTGTTAGTTGATTTTAGGGAGCCTGTAAGTCTCAGTCAAAGACATATAGCAAGTCATGTTTAACATTAGAAAGGGGGAAAAAAACCCATAACGGAGAAAACTGCCGTTCCTGGTAGTTTAGATTTTCTCTGTGTTTTTTCCTGTGTACAGCAAAAAAAGTTGTGATGGTTTACAATAGGGACTGGGTTCCTGCGTTTTCTGGAGAGTGGGGATGGAGGGGGGAGGGTTACTGCAGCTGAAAATTTGTGGCCTGGCATCTCATCCCCAAAATCCCTTAGTCCTGTGGAATTTCTACAAGTCTGGTCCCCCGTATGTTGTTATTGCCTCTCTGCTTACCATTTTTCATTTTAATAGGTAAGATATGTCGTAGTTCAGTAACAGTGAAAAAGAACTGGTCATCCTTTGCCATTCGCTGCTGATTGAATCTTTGGGATGCAGACATGAACTGCAAACTGGGTCCTTATTCTAGTGGTAAAAACAAGAGTTACGACGTGAGCCGTCTTAATCCACGCTCTTCTCCAGTTGTGTTGTCAGCGTTGGCGATGGGGTTTCTCCTGGCCGCTGGGCACACTTCCTATGTAACGTTCTTGTTCTGGTTTTGGAAGTGAGCTCAATAGGTCTGATTCCAAGTTTCAAGTTCAGGTGACTTGGCGCTGTTACTTGTTTTCTTTTTTCTTTTTCAGTTGCTAGAATACGAGTATTTCGTGTGTCCTTTTCTTCCATAGCAAACTGACGCAGTTTTTCTGTACACATTTATTATATGTCATAATCATGATTTATTTATATAATGTTATACATGCCAGTGGTTGCTGCTGTGACTTACATGAAGATAAGGTCCCTCTTCTGAAGCCACTCGTGTTTTGATTTTTAGACATCCATCCAATATTGAAGAAATTAAATGAATGTCATAGGAATAATTTAGCATTGCCAAGTGCCGTGAAGGGATGCTGTATATTAACAGGAAAAAGGGATCTGATTTTCCAGTATGTTCGCTTAATAAGTATTGCATACACATGGTATGTATTTATTTTTTACCACAACCCCTTCCCACGAAGCGACGCTTTTGGTTCACATTTGAGCACCCGTCCGAGGCCCGCGCAAAGCAGCCGCTGCAGACAGAGTTCAGAGCACCATGGCTCCTCTCCCCTTTTGAAGCAACGGAAAGTGGCTCCTAAGTTTTAGGAAGGCTTTAAGCCTTTTATTAACATTTTTCAAGATGAGAATGAATAATACAAGGAAGTGAAGTAATATTAATAGGCTGGGGACTTTATTAATGTACGGCTGGCACGTGTATTGATGTAGGGGAAACAAGAGGCTTATACTCACAAAGAGACTCTAAGAATGGCTACTTTAATTCACTTATTACCTGAAAATCGCATTAAGCTTTTGTGTGGATGCTTTTCCTCAGCATTAACATTGGCTTGGTTTATTTTAGTTTAAATATTCAGTTTCGGATGAATTGAAGGCTAACTTACTGTGGACAGAGTGTCCTGACAAAAATTTAGTGCCGTTTGCTAATTCTCGTTAGGGAATTGAGGTTATTTTTTTCAGACTGCATCTGTGTAGATACACTCCCAAGCCTTGGCATTGTGTTTTTCCTGGTTATATTTTTATTTGGAAGAAAATCTCGATACCTTTAGATTGTGTCCAGGAACAAGGCCTGTATTTACGGGTTTACAGTCAGCACACCTTGGGCACACAGAAATAACCCAGGATGTTGTTAGCTGAACTGGTTTGCAGGTAATAATCACCTTTCCTTCTTTTGATGAACACATGTGTTGTGTTACTGTTGTTTTTAGGGCAACGTAGCCTTCCACCAGTTCTTGGAATGGTGATTTGGCCTTTTCCGTGCCATAAATGTAAGCTATTTAGAAATGTCAGTTATGTGCAACCAGTAACAGTTGTACAACCCATATCAGTTTTCTGTTTTGTAACAAGCAGTATTGACACTAAGGTCCCTATTTATTATGGTTGAATTTTTACCATTAAAAAAATTGGTGAGTGTTTTCTTGGTTAAGATGTTTTCCTGTCAATGCAACATTATGCAAGAATTTGTGATTAGGAGGCTTTAAACTTTTATAAGTTTATAATATTTATTTCTATTAAAAAAACCAGATACAGACCATTTGCAGAATGTCATAGTCATAGTATTGCGAATAATCCTGTCTGCTACGTAATGTAAGTGGACAAAAGCCTTTTATGGAAACTCTGGATGAAGGTGCCCTGGCCTAAATTGTGGAAGTTCACAAAAGGAAGGAATACACCATAGGGGGTTACTTAATTAAGATATTTAGAGCAAAGGCTCCAAGGTTTTCCCGTGCTGACGATGGCCTGCCAGGAGTTGTCAGTGTATGCAGGGTGTGAAATGGGAGCAGGGAGGCAGGGGATAAATGTTCCCAGTTCAAAGCAGCTGCTCAGTGGTGAACTGGAGCAGTCTGAGCTGGAGACTGGAGGAACCATGCAAACATCCTCGTTTTTCATTACGCTGCATTATTAGACGCTGGGATTTAGGAAGGAGGAGAAAACCTCACTGGTTCGGATGTCAGCCGTAGCCCATTAAAACGAATTCACTCTGTTCCCTCTTCCATGGCAGGGACAGAGACGCTCGCCAGCCGCTCTTGTTGTTGGCAATAAGTCCGCTGGGCTCAGAGACCTCTGGCATCGTCCGCTATGGAAATTGCTGTATCCGGCTTCATTCAAATGTTGGGTTTATTGCTGTTCCTTTTCATATTGCTCCAAAGTATTCACTGTTTTACTGTCATGTAGGGTCTTGGGACTTGAGCGCAGTTCTGGATGTGAGTATCTTGAGCTGAGATGGTTCTGAGAAGTGAGGATTCGGTGTGATTTGGGGACCATTAGGACTGCTTCCTGCTGCTTTTTTCCCCTGTAAGATATTTCAGTATAGAGCCCTCAGGGTGTATATTATTTGGCAGCTGGATTTCCACACATTTAAAAGAAATGGTTATTGATTTTTATTTTAATTTTTTAATGAAAACATGCCCCCCACAGGTAAAGGAAACAGTGTCCAGTTCTGGTGGCTGTGAGGTGGTATTACTTACCTGGAAAGTGAGAAGGGGAGGATCATTACATATTTGAAAAACACACCAGTGTGCTATACTTTTTGCAAAATACATAATTACATATTTTTTCCTCCACACTCAAGGAATATATTCCAAAATAAATTAGAAATTCTGGCTTTCTTACTATCCTAACTTTTAATCATCTGATTCTTTATCTACAATTTTAAAAGGATGTGGCCTCTTTTTCCCTATTCTAAATGGATTTATTTCAAGTATGTTCAGGTTCCTGATTCTCTACCTAATTAGTGTTTGTAATCTTACGCATTCTGGAAAAGTATTTTCATTGGCTGTTATAAAGACATGTTTAAAAAAATAATACTTCTGGTTTTATAAGTAAGTTAGTTTTGGGAAGTCCATAGAGTAACATGAGCTTGCTTTTTTGCTCTTCTCTATCTTGTTCTTCCATGTGATTTTGTAATGCATAGTTTCTAAAACATTAATCATCTGGTCACTGCATGTAATGAAACGGGCTCTGGACTGACACACATACAAACACGTGTTACACGTACACACAGAAAAATCTGTTCCTCTTGTGTGTGAGGAAGATTATGGAAAAATGATACGAATGCTCTCCATTGCTCCTACACGTTCTGGTGAGAAACCACCAGCAAATAGTTACCCATTGTTTGCAGACCTCATCTCGAAGGAAAAGTTAAAAATACAGTAAAATTTACATGACAGAATAACACTGCAAAATGAACTCAGAAGAAAACACTGCTCGGTTGAGCGGCTGGCACGCACGCTGTGGTGCATGGCTTCTATTCATAGACGTGAAATTAAAGGACGCAGTTAAAGGCAGTTGTGAAACGGCCAGTCCAACAGCTGCATCGAGTTTGTTTTTCAATTTCTCCTTGCCTTTCTTGTTTATTAGCTGTGACTCTGAGGTCAGAATTAAAACAAATATTTTAATGGCAGCAGTGCTGGTGTTGGCAGGGAGCGCGGGGCCGAGCCCCTGTACAGGCGGTGCGAGGTGATGGCTCCAGACTGGACACCCAGGGCTGCTGTGGGACCTCTCCTGGGGTACAGCTGCAGATCCAGCACTGATGAGCATCCTGAGCCCGCTGTGCGGTTCTGGTGGCACCAGGCATGCTTAGAGCATCTTCGTTGTGGGAGGAACCTTGTAGAGAGTTGTGCCGTGTTAAAACTGAGCAGAGTTCCTCTCTTTGTTGTGACAGATCTAAGGTATTAAGACCTTTATGAACTGTGATAATTAAAACCAACTTGAGTGTAAATGATACACATCTCTTAATACCAGAGGAATTGTTGTACATGCTTTTAAGAGTCATTTTAGAGTCTGTGGGGCTGGAGTTTTCTCTTTGTCAATTGTCTTTATTTCACCACATTTAAAAGCAAATCATAGATGTTTTGTTTGTGCTAAAGCGGAATAATAGTTGCTAAATGCATTGTTGTCCACACTGGCAAAGTTCTGCACAGCCATAGATAATACAATAAAAATAGAATCCATAAGGAAGGAAATACGATCAGTGTTTCAGGAATCGGTTCCAGACAGATAGGTTTTTACCTTATAGTTACCATTTCTATTAACCAAATTTCATGGTAAACTGTAAGTTTCC